TCTGTAAAGAACTGGGCTTTAAAGCATTCGGATTGTAAATTAAATATTATCAACGGACTGTTTGCCCACATGTCCATGAAAGAACAAGTTCGGGCCATCCAAGATGCCTCAGTCATTATCGGTGCTCATGGTGCCGGGCTAACCCATATAGTTTCTGCAACACCCGGAGCAGTGATTTTAGAGATAATCAGTAGCGAATACAGAAGGCCTCATTTTCAGCTTATTGCTGGATGGAAGGGGCTGGAGTACCATCCCATATATCTCAGTGGGTCCTATGCTGATCCTCCTGTAGTTCTTGACGAGCTCAAAAGAATTTTGAAGAGCCTTAGATGCTGAAGCTGCTAACCATCTGAAGTCTCGGTTTTGCTCTGATTATTTTCATTTGATGGAGAAAGTGCGACACTTCCACAGCTAATCTTACGACACGGGTTGTATAAATTGAAGAAGCATCAGTTCTCGAACAACTACAGAATTCACCAAATGGATTGCTTTTGAAAATGGACGGGCAGAACTGTTGATGGGAATCAGGAAGTTCCCTTGATTACAGATATTACACGGCGCGAGGAATGGCATCTAGGCTTTAGATATGTTGAGGTTTAGATAGATGATAAGATGCGGCCAACACTGATTTTTACATTTTAACTTTTATAATCAATTCTTTCAAACACGCATGGGATGATATTCTGTGGATTTTATGCAATGAAAAATGTTGATTTTCCATGGATTTTATGCAATTATACAAAAATTCAAGGCTTGCAATGTCCAATTCTCTTACCATTTCCAAATCCAAAATGAATTATATTCGTCTGCAAAGGCTAACCAAATCTACGTAATTCTAATTGTAAAGCACGTTTGGCTACAAAAAAGAGAATTATTTTATTTCAATGTGACGTTTTTATTTTAGTTTAGATTAATAAAAAATTATTTATATAATCACGAGTAAACTTGAAAGTTTGGACAAGCATGCATGAGAAAACGCAAGAATTTAGGAAGGGCAAATAAAGAAAAAAAATTTGTTGTCCTATGAATTGGGTATATTGTTTTCCAGAAGAAAACATCAACAAAAACCCAAATAATAGTATAACATGTAAATTTATCTTTCTCCCACAACGGAAGATTCAAGATCTTTTTTCCAAGTCAATTATGCCTGTGGAATCTCAACCTCCAAATTCTGTCAATGAAAAAGAGACGGCGGTTGTGATGATGAAGGTTGATTCGAAACAACATATATCGAGTTCTTCTTCGAATTTCAAGAACTTTATTTAGAAGGTTGTGAGGAGAAGTTCTATGAAGAATCTATTCAAACCCAAGAAACCTCGGACCTCTATCGATGTTGTACGAGAAACCAGGGCCCTGCTATTTTGCCAGGATGCTGGTGGTGACACCGTGGGACGTAAGCATGATTAAATGGTAAGTTTCTTATGCACTCTTCGAAGATTGGTTTATTTCTATTTCCGAGGGTGTTGGAAATTTTCCTTTTGTATTTAATTTGTTTGAATGGGAATTTTCTTTTATTTTGGTTTACATTTTGATGGGAAAATAATTTTGAAATTATAAGGAGAATTTGCTTAGGGATGAATGCAGAGTAAGATAGGAAGTATTGAGAAGTTTTTCATATGAAATATTAGCCTTGTTTGTAGCATCAATATTCAATCTGTTTTTGTCTTGTGGGTTGTTCCATCGTAAATTTGTTTCTTTGACGGGAATATCAACTATGGTAAGCATTTTTTGTTGTCAGCGGTCATCAACATTTGTTTTTTTGCTTATTTGTGGATCCTTGAAAACATAGTATATTGTCATCAAAATTGACTTTCATTTCACTGGACGAAATTAGACCTCCTTATCGGGGAGATGAAATCAATTCTTTGTGGTGTTTGTGAATTTGAAAATATTCAAGAAGCTTGTTTGAAACTAACTAAAGAGTTCTTTAGAGACGATACATTGTTGGTTCTTATTCTTTGTCTCCCAAAATTAAACTTGGAGGTAAGCAACTCTTCCCCTAACATATTTGGGATAAAAGTATGATGTAATCTAGAATTTCTTCCTGTTGCTTATCATTGATGTAATATTTTTCTTTTATGCTCGTAAAGATGCCGCTCAAGTGCAAAGGCAAAGGGTTAATTGCTTATCATTACTTGGAGGTCAATCTAGCCATCAGTGAGATACTACTCATCAAACTTAATGTTCTTATTTGCTTGTTGACAAATTTGAGTTTGGTTGGCAAGTAAATGTCAACTGATTCCCGAACATTTGGTGATCTCAGATGTGTCAAAATCAATTGTTGAGATCGATGACCAATAATGCAAGAATTGAGATTTAATGAATACCACTTGTTGTAATTGAAGTAATTAACAAGATCACAAATAATATCAAGAACAAGATTAAAGTAAAGAAAATAAAAGAAGAACCGGCAAAAGGAACGGTGTTTTATTCAACACTATGAAAGGAGAGTACAATAGCAATTAAAGTTTATATTGTAACACCTTAAACTGAAAAGAGAACCCCTATATTTATAGTACACAAGCTAAACCCTAAAAGAAGGAGAAAATATGAAAACTAGGTTAAAAATCACGTAAAGGAAAAAATTCGCTGTCACCTAAAATTTTTACTGTGCGACCGCACAAGTATACTCCTTGCGGTCGCATGGAGTAGATTAATTGGCAGCTGAAATTCCCTGATAGCCCTTGTGCGATCGCATAGTGTGTGTTAGTGCGGTCGCATGAAGTTTCAATTGGAAAAGCATTTCTTTCCTTATAAATTTGATACAATTGATTGCTTTCCAACTCCAACACGCAACATCAAGATTTTGTTCCCTTAAAACTTGTCTACCACTTTCATCCCTCTTCCAATTTTAATTCAACGTGCCATCTTCAATAATTATTTTCCTAATTGAGAGTCACAACCATAACATCAATAGTGACTCATTATTTCGATGAATCATTTATTCGGACAGGGCAGTGTTCTAACCAATTGAATTACAATTACAGGGAAATAAGGGATCTAGCAAAAATCTTTCTCCAACCTTTGCTACCCAACCTGAGAACAGACAGCTAATGCGTTCTAAGAGAAAAATTTCCTAATGTAGAGGCAATAAAAAAAAGCCACATAAGTGAATATATAACCTACAAAAAAGTGGGCTAATCCAAGTATCCAACCAATCTTGCTTGGAGATGCGGAAAATAAGACTCTCCGCCTTGGAAACGAGAAAATATACTAAAAAGAAAATTGAGTATCTTTTGTTTATTTTTGTAGTAGTTGATACCCAGGTGAGCTATTGTTTGTGTTCGCAAAAATCTGAAGATAGTTCATTGTGTTACGTATTCATAATTTTTGCTTTGTTTGAGATATTAGATACATTTGATTATTTGAAATATCGGTGTGACAATAGAAGAAGTACCAACTCTGAGCAAAACTTGTCGTCTTGGATAGAACTGAGTTTATTATTATTATTATTATTTTACTAGATTGAATTTGAAAATTGATCATTTAACTACATTGAGTCCAAATGAGAAAGGTGTAGCTAAAAATTAATTTTTTGGATGCTTGTTTCTCATAAAATTACCGAGTCACAAGTAAATGTGCGATATTCTTATGCATTAAAACAAGCCTTTTCAAAATGCTTATTTTGAGGTGTTGATTATTTGGATTCATTTATATTTTTTAATGTATGTTTTATATAAATAAATACAGTTGGACGTTGGTGCTCGTATATATTATTAGTTCTCACTTCATTTTTCAATAAATGTGATGATCCAGATATTGTTTTGCATTATGGAGGATACTAAGGGAGTTTATACGGCATCGGATTGTTGCAAGGTAGCATTCACGAGACAAATGATGAAAAATTTTGTAAGGATGATTTCAACGACTACTGATTGACTGTCATAGAGTAGACATTTTTTTTCCTTTCAACCTTATTTTTCCGAAATCTCTAATTATTGATTTATATGCAATTTATAATTTGTTTACAGAAAACATTTTGAGTTCCAAGCATCCAAATTTTGATGTTGGTCGATTGCTGCATCCACCTTTTAAGGTTAGTCGCATGTCTTTAATTGCTTTTTTTCATTCAGTCGCAGATTATCTAGAAAATTATGTGCATGTTAGAAACTCTACACGATGATTTGTTACGTCTGCTCGTTTATCACACGAGGGTTTTGATGAATCTAACATTTCTGTTACTATTCAAGAATTATTATAGAGTGCCATTTGGTTTTATAGTTTTTTCCGGCAATATGCCAACTTATTTTGCCCCTGCTTATTTCTGTAAAATAATTGAGGATATCCAAATACGTGAAAAAATTCTTTTGCAGGAGTCACTCAAGAACATCCAGATTGATGCACTCCGTATTCAAGGTTTCACTTTTGACAGTTCATAAATACGTATGAATAAATTATGGGAAACATAATGGTTGACATAGGGAGTGACTGGACACACACACACCTCGAGGGTTGGAAATTATTTAATTCACGTGGAACCCGCACACTTTATGAGGATCGATCACTTCGAGTGTCAAAACATTTTCGGACAAAGTATCATTTTCCATAAATTCTTACCAATTCTGGGTATTTACTTCTTTTATGTACTTAATAGCTTTTTGTGGCTAACCAGAACAAACATGTTGAGATTATAAATGAATTATTTCCTAAAATGCTACTTTTATTTTAAATACTACCTCTAACTATAACATACGTAACCGTGTTACACGCACAACAAACTTCATTACATATGTAACACACGTAACAAATTATATTATGCTGGTGCTGCACATAAAAGTTTATAACACACTACGTTACGTGATCAGACAACTTGTTTTAGGATCATTTGCTCTATTAATTTTTATAATTAAAAAAATAAAAAACTCATTGCGAAGGCCTAAATTGTTTGGAACACCTCTGCATGAACCAAGAAGGGCTCAATAGAACTCGATCTTGGATTGTGCCCTTGGCTGTTAACAATGAAAGTAGTTGTTCAAGCATGAATCGATCAATTTGAGGACTTGTTATCGTTTGCTCATCAAAAAACCATGGCCACTATAAGAAGAAAGTCAGACACCCTACTTGGATTCCATAGGACAAAAAAAAATCATAAAAAGGAACATTTTTTCATCCTAGATCCTAGGTTTTGTCCCAAGTTGATGGCATTTGCAACAGCAACTGCTTTCGAAGCTCAAGGGCGGGGCCGTTGGCGGTGGCACATGCTCGTACAAGGATTCTAAACAAGCTTCTTGAAATGCTTGTCGGAAAGGAAAATAACGACCATATTCATCGTAGCCGCTCATCCAGTAACCGTATGGATTTTCGTGGTTCGGCAAAAATAAGTTGCTCGGACACTGTCCAAATTGAAACCAACATAATTCTGCATGTCTTCCAGCTTTTCCCAGCTTCTTCATAAGTAATTTTGGATCAATCAAACCTGACACGCGCACAACGCCGAATTCATCCATCTTGAAACTTCGTACTCCTTTATTCGATACGCAAAAAAATAAAAAAAATAAAAAAAATCAGAATATATCATGAAAATAAGTGTTTTTATAAGAAATTAATTATTTTGTACCTCGGCTACTGGATAGCACACCGCTGACTGCCTTTTGCCATCCTGGACTATGTACATTTACTCTCAGAATACATGACTGGATGAAAAAAAAAATCCAAAAAGAACATGATTTTCTTTTTGATAAAATGGAAAATACAGATGAAATATAGTAACAGAATATAATACCATGAATGCAGAATTGTCTTCTTTAAATGAACGAATCCATTTCCAAGGTGCCATTGATGAGATTTTTTCGACAAAGTTTTTCTTAAAATACAAGAAATGTCCATTCTTTTGGAGCTTAAATAGAGTGTGATGGATTTTTTATTTATTTATTTTTTTTTTTTGTGGAAATGAAGAAAATGGCGTGATTCAAGAGGAAATTATATCGGTTACAAAATTGAATTCTGGAAATATTCCATTTTTATTTCCTCTTGAATCACGCCATTTATTTTGGAAATGAAGAAAATGGCGTGATTCAAGAGGAAATTATATCGGTTACAAAATTGAATTCTGGAAATATTCCATTTTTATTTCCTCTTGAATCACGCCATTTTTTTTGGAAATGAAGAAAATGGCGTGATTCAAGAGGAAATTATATCGGTTACAAAATTGAATTCTGGAAATATTCCATTTTTATTTCCTCAAAAATGGCTAATTGACATGAATGAAATAAATCAAGTTAATTGATATGATAGAGTAAAGATATGTTTGCTTATTTTGGAAATAAATGTTTTATAAGAGGAGACAAAAAATTTCAAAATCTCGCTGTAAAATAATACCAGTTTGGATAAGTTTTATGATAGACATAGTAAACACTCATTGGCGTGCCAATGTTTAGTTTGAGAAAATATAAAATAAACAACGGGTCGACAACTAATGATATTTTCGCAATTACGATCATAAGAAAAGTGATTATTTAAAAGCACATCAATAGAGTGGAAAATGAATTAATTTGAAGGTTAAAATTAGTACTTTTATGACATATAGCGGAGAAACTAAAAGCAAAATTGAGAAGTTACCATTTTGCGACTTCTCAAAATTTGCAGTGCAATTTCAGTTTTTCTTAAATATATCGTATACCTAAAAATAAGTTATGATTCTTTGACAATCAAAAGTTGGACTCTAAAATCAATTCCAAATCACCACCGATGTGTTTTACATACCAAATTTGATGTCGCCTAAGAAAAAAATGCAAGAATTTGTGGGGGAGGAGATGGATATTATTTTTATTTTATTTTATTCTTAAACTGAAACACCAACTTTCTATTAAGGAGGGTATATTCAATTAATACTTTTAATGACTTTTTGGGATTTAAAAAGTTTAAGGGTATTCAATTGAGACTATTTGAGACTCTCTAAAAGTTACGGTGTATTCAATTAAAACTTTTAAAAAGTCTGTAAAAGTTACGGTGTATTCAATTAAAATTTTTTAGAACTCTCTATAAGTCTTGGGGTATTTAAATTTTAATAATTTTTAGAGACTTTTATAAAAGTCCATGGAGTACTAACTTTTAAGCAAAAAGTACTCATATAATATCTTAAAATTTGCCTCTCATTAATCACGAGATTTTGAGCATTTTTCTAAGATGTTCGTCATAAAAATGAAAAAGGGACATTTGGCCTTTGACATTTCAGTAGCCATGAGATAAAAAGGAATACAAAAGACTACACATACCCATCAGCACGCCCACACTGTCCAGGGCGTGAAGAGATTGAAGCTAATAAACTGCCACTGCCAAATTGCTCCTCAACAAGGGGATCAAGCTTGCGATCCTGTTGACGCTTTTCAATTTTTCTCAGGACATGGTTGCTCTTCTTCGTCTCTTTAGCAGCAGCGGCATCAGCATCCTAATTAAATCCCAGCAAACAAAAGTTATTAAAAAGCTCTGAATAGATATTCTTCAATAGACTTTGTTTAAAACAAGAGCATATATTAAAAAACATGTCCACGCAATTGACATCTCCCTCCTTTAAATCATGTCAAGACATTTCTTATGCCTCCCAGACTGGAGCGCTCAATTTCTTATTTTACCCTAATCCCGATAAGAAACTCCAACTTAAATATGTCTTACATTTTTATTAGCAAATAGTAGATATTGATACCAATAGAGTTAAAATGCAATATAGAATGCGTATTTCGGTAACTCTACTTCACATGTTTTTCCCAATTGCTCCCTGGTCTTTAGAAACGTCCTCAGTGATGCCTTCAAATGTATTATATAGCTTCATTGATGGTCTCGATGCATTGCAATCTTGTCATTCAACTCACAGTTCAGCTACTAATATGTACCTAATTATATTAGTATCTAATTGGAGTAAAATGTGCTTTGTGAGCAATAAAAATTTATGAAGCACTTTCGAGTCTAACAAAAAGTACTGGGTAAAGTATATCCTAAAGCAGTAGAAAAGAAAGATAGTTCATTACTTCTCCTTCCTTCTTGGCAGCTGTCTTCTTCTTGCGACCAATGTCAACTCCATAGTGCTGAAGATACCACTGCTTGAATGGTGCAGCATCCACTTGAACAATGGCACTCTTCACCAAAGTCTGGGTCCTAACCAACTCATTGTTTGATGCATTATAAACCACATCAAGTATACGGGTCTTACGGGTCACAGCTTCACTCCCCCAAGAATAGTTTCCTGTATCCAGCCTCAACGCACGCCACTTCACATTACCTCCTCGAACTCTCACCCTTCTTACTGTTTTGTTACTTGACAACTTAGTGTTTGCAGGTTGCCTTCCAAGCTCATACCTACGAGTAGACAGAGAATAGATTAATCCAATAACAATCACATGGGAGTAATAAGTTAC